TTATCTCTGGGGACTAGATAGATGGCTCAGGAGTTAAGAGCACTTACTGCTCTTGCATAGGACCCAGGTTCGATTCCCAGCACCCATATGGCAGCTAATAACTGTCCATAGCTCCAGTTCCAGGGAATCCAATGCCTTCTTTTGATCTTCACAGATATTGCATAACACAAGTGCACCCACCTACATGCAGACAATACAGTCATACACATAAAATAAAAATAATAATAAATAATAGTAAACAGAGGCTGCAGAGTGCTTATCCTTGAATAGGACACCTGTATCACACTTCTGCCTCACAAGACTCAGGGATGATTGGGGAAGAGGGGCTGGAAAGATTGTAAGAGCCAAAGGTGGTAGATGACACAAGAAAACAGTTTTCCAGACAGCTGGGCAGTTACTCCAATGAACTCTCAATGGTGACAGCATGCACAAGTCCCTTACAAGCTCAAACCAGAAAAAAACTCCAGTATAGATGTGGGAAGGGAAAGTAGGTAAGAAACCACAACCCTGCCTGAGGAACTATTGGCAACTGATGGCTGCTGGGAGGGGGCGAGACAGTGTCTTACAGGGTCTTAGTATGTTAACCAGGCTCCAGTGGATGGACCCACACTGAAGGACATTTGGGAACACAAATTAGACTCTATAGGCCATATATATATATATAAAATACAGTACATTAAATTGGGTGGAGAATAGTATCAGGGGTGTGGATAAGAGGGGGAAATCTAAATATGATCAAAATATATTCTGTGAAAATCACAAAAATTCAATTAATAAATGAAAAACATTATAGAAAGCTGTATGTTAGAGCTAGAGAGATGGCTCAGCAGTTAAAAGCACTGACTGCTCCTGCAGATGACCAAGGTTAAATTCTCAGCACCCACATGATTGCTAACAACCATCTGTAAATCCAGTTCCAGGAGAATCCATGCCTTCTTCTGATCTCTGCAGGCATCATACAACATACAGGCAGACAATACACTCGTACACTTAGAAATGAATAAAATATTGTTTTAAAAATAATTTTTTTTGTCTTTTTGAGACATGGTCTCCCTTTAGCTTGTAATCTCTTAGCATCTCTCCAGCCCACAACATTTTTTTAACTGAAAAATAATAATATTTAAAAGTAAACAAGTAGCTGGGCTTGGTGGCGCAGGCCTTTAATCCCAGCACTCAGGAGGCAGAGGCAGTGAGATCTCTGTGAGTTCAAGGCCAGCCCGGTCTACATAGTGAGTTCCAGGACAGCTGGGGCTACAGGGAGACCCTGTCACAAAAAGACCAAAAACAAACAAACAAAAAAATAATTTTTTAAAAAGAAAGATGTGTCTCACTGTAATTTTAATTTCTGTTTGTGTTCTTGGTCCTATTTTGGGTTTCCATAATTATACCTTCATTATTTTCTTCCTATAACCTCTTGGGTATAGTCATTCCTATCTTTAGTCCTTTGGATGACTTTAAGTATTCTCTGTAGGGCTGGTTTTGTCAACATGAATTCTTTCAGACTACTCATGTCATGGAAGGTTTTTCTTTCCCTTTCAAATATGATAGACAGTTTTTCTAGGTAAAGTATTCTGGGTTGACCTCTATGGTCATTTAGGACTGGGAATACTTTGGTCCAGGCTCTTCTGGATTTCACAATTTGCACTGAAATGTCAGCTGTAATTCTGATGGGTTTTCCT